CAAAACAGTGCTGAAAATTCAATTCAGGCATGTTCCGGGAAGTCCATGGATTTGGACAACTTACATGTTTTGGGTCATATATATGTTCTTGTAATGGCCTTATTACTAGTATCTTGTATTTCTCTCAATAGTCTCAATATCTAATAATAGATTACTAGTCTCTTATTCGAATTTATCATCTAAGCATCGATTTATTTATAAAAGTGTGAAGCTATTAAATGAACTAAAAATGATTAAAAAAACTTTTGGCACAAACGTAATCCACTACAATTAGCTTATATAACTAAAAAAATCAATAGAATTAACTCATCTAATTTAGTTGATTGTAAATGAATCTAAAATCATATACGAGCTGGACTTTCACGAATAAACGACTAATTGTGAGTTGAAATTAGTATTACTTTTAGCAAATATATGGGGGGAAAGTAACCGGAAGAGAATGATTTCCACAAAAAAGAAAAATGAAAAACTGAATTTACCCCACCACACAAAGCTAACCCTTATTATACTCAGATAAAAATTTAATTAATTATACATTAGAACCGTATTAATGTAAAAACGGTATATCCCGTAACGGGGTTAAGCTAGTGACCGTACCTCCCTGACCCACTACTCCGCTTCCCTTAAATTCACAATGTTGCCGCTGCTCTCGTCGAACTCCACCACCGACAATCTCGCAGAGATCTCAAGTTTTGTTGGGTAAACTTGCTCTCTAATGGAGGATGGCGATTATCCGGCTGCAAGTGACACCAGAGCTTCAGGTCTCACATAAATGCTTTATGGATAGATTTGGAGTGTGAAATTTTTTCTCTCATTTTCATCCGTTTCTTTCAGGTAGCAAGCGAAGCTTCGGTGATCTTGAAGACGATGAAAATAATAATTCCGGATCAAAAAAGGTAGCCTTTGTTAGAACATTGAAACCTTTGGATTCTACATACACTGTAGTTTTAGCTTTTTGGATTCTCATCAATCTTGAGATTCTGCATGTGCTTCTTCTGAATGTGTTAGCACTTTCTCTTATTCTTTGATCCTCTCTCAGCTTATACACTATTAGTACGTTTCACGAGAATTTTCTTGTTTATCATCCTTCAGGGTAAAGTGGAAGAATCTGGCCCTGATTTTGTCACTCCAAGAGAGGTTTTATTCCATTCCTTTCTTTGATTTGATGTTTTTGTTTTTGGGTTACGGATTTAAATGCAATCTTTCTTTTTTTATCAAATGTGGTCAAAAGAAAAGAGAAAGTGTTTTGGCTTTCATGTACTATAATTCTTAACCTTCTTTTGCTTTTCTTTTTTTTTTTCTCTTTGGCAGTCTTCAGGCATGTAAAGATGATCTTGCTTCATGTCAAGTATTGTTACTATCCTCTTATCTATATAAGTTCCCAGTAGCATCTTCTTGTATCTAACTATTTGTTCAGAATGAGCTTGAATCAGCGAAAACAGAGTTTAATATGTGGAAATCAGCGTTTGAGAAGCAGTCTTTCATACCGGCTAGAACATCTCCTGGTTGGTTAGCCTTACTTCATCCAATGTTGGTTTTGTACATTTGTATATGTGATGCTAACACTTGACAATCCAAATTATTTCTGTTTGGTCTTTAAGAACCTGGATTTGTGATTGACTACATCGAACAACTAAGATCTTCCGAGACAACTTTGAAAGAACAGGTTAGCATTATTGAGTTTTAAGTTTGTGTATTTATCAATATGAAGATCTTCTTGATTTTCCAAACAGGTTTTGATGATTGTTTTCTCTTTTTTTCAGTTAGAAATTGCACAAATGAAGGTAAATTCTCAAGGAAATCATTGCCTATCACATGTTTTCTTGGTCATTACATGGCAAAAAATGTCGCTAAACGTAGTTTTGGATTTGTATTTCTAGTTAGCTATCCACGATCTAAAATCTCAACTCAAGCCAGCGTCAATGCAGGTATATATACAATTCTCCCAAATGTTATCATTCTGGAGTAGTAAGTTACACAGTTGGTCCAACAAGCTAGTTGTTGTTGAAGCAATTTTGAACTTTCTAGGCATAGATCTCCACTTTTTATGCCATAGATTCAGTAGAGGGAAACTTTCTCCTTGTAAACCTTTTCTTGGTCTCTCGTTGCAGCGGTTTACGACAGATGGGGATCCAGAAGTTGACAGCAAGCAAGGATCTGCCGCTGGTCCCTCAGGCAATGTCGCACATCTTGAGGTACTCATCTTATTTAAACTTTTGTTTTCATTATAATTATCTACACACTCTTATACATGTCATTAAATTTTGATTTTTAAGGAAGTTGAAGTTGATGAAAACCGCTGTCTCGGGTTAGACACTCTTCCTAACCACGGCGGGAACTCTTCTTCTCCTGCATGCCTGTCTGCCTCGGCATTGTTGGATGAGTTGCAGGCAGCAAAAAGGTTGATCGCGGAGTTGAAGGAGGTTCAGGCCGTGAATTTGGTGGAGATGAGAAAAAAGCAAGCCGAGTTTATGGAGTATTATGCCATTTTCAAGTCGGTACTACAAAAATATCCGAGCTTGGTTCCTCCATCCGCACCAGAGGATGCTGATGAGTAGAG